TGGTCCCTGCTGCCTGCGTCCTCTGCCATTGTGCCAGTCCCCTCCGGTCCCGGCCGCAGCCTGCAGCCTGCATTGCCCGCCTGCGTAGCTCATCTGCCAGCGCATCTGCACCAGCCAGATTTTAAGTGCCCGAAGTGGAATGATCTGTGCCACTCTTTTCTAAGTAAGTGGAATGAAAGGTATTTGTATCAGTTTAAGAAAATGTCTTAAGCTGGGGGGAGGGGGGTGGGGGGGATGGGGGGGTGGCGCACGCCTTTAATCCCAGCACTCAGGAGGCAGAGGCAGGCGGATCTCTGTGAGTTCGAGCCCAGCCTGGTCTACAAGAGCTAGTTCCAGGACAGGCTCCAAAGCTACAGAGAAACACTGTCTCGAAAAAAAAACAAAACAAAAAAACAAAAACAAACAAACAAACAAACAAAAAACAAAAAAGAGAAAATGTCCTATAAATTTCATTTGTAACTGAGTCTACAGTATAACAACCAAACCAGACCTCTCTGTGAGTAGAAAAAAAAGTTTACTGGGGATTAAACTGTCAAGACTATTTCTTGGGGATGGAAGGGTGGGCAGAGGGAAACAAGATGGTGGGAAAACAAGCAGATTTTATATTCAGCAGGGTGGAGTCTTTGAACGATAAATGACGTTTGGATTAGCCAAGGTCTAGATGCCCTTGCTGGAGACAGTTGACCTTCCGGGATGGATAAAGAGAGGTCCAAGTAAACAAAATCCACTTTAAGAGATTCCTGAAGAGTGAAGAATTTAGGCTTCTGTTTATCCAATAACAACCCTCTGTTTGCCAGTCAGAGTCTTCCTATTCAGGATATAGTCACTAGCACTGGTATACTGGGTACTTTGGACCTACCATTATGCTTTCGAAACCACTCCTTTGGACAATCTTAAAACCAAGGCAACAAGTACCTTTTTATTTAAATTTAAGGTTTTTTTTTGTAAGCACATAAGAATTTCCTAGGAGTTATATAAAGAGATACAATGAAGACAAATACAATAGGAAAAAAATCCAAAGATGAATATATGTTCTATACATGGAGGGAACCACAGAAATATTTTGTTCTGGATGTGGAGTACTTTAAATAACTAGCACATACATTTGTTATACCTGGAAGTTATCATACATTTTCCATTTAATTTTACCACTCACTGTGTTTTTAAAACACAGCTAACCTCACACATATACAAATGTTATTAATGCAAAAGAATATGATAACTCAAGATATTCTGAAGAACTCTGAAGTAGGTCTTTATTATACTGATAAATTTGATCCTCATGTTTTAAACAATATGCTTAATATTAGCATGTTAGCAAGTAGTGAAAGCAGTGAAATATTCACAAACAGGATGCCAAGTGCACATGATTCTGTAATAATAAAACAATGAGAGGAACTATCATTGCTTAATTTGGGGTTAAATTTTAAAATCTTAACTCACTCAATATTTTATTCTCATGAGTCATTTAAGTGCCATTGAGGATATTGTAGGCAATATAAGAATTCTGGTTTAACCTGTCAAGGCAAGTGCCCATACTGAGTCCTCAAAGTAATAGGAGTAGTAAATAAGAATGTATAAGCAAATTGATATTTAAATGTGAAGGATGGAGGATATAACTCAGTGACAGAATACTTGCCTGATTGTATACTGTGGTTGGAACGTATTAGTCTGTTTTGACTTGAAATAAAAGTGAAAAGTAGAGCTCAGTGATCAGAGTATTCTTGGACACAATGCAGAAATGAGGAGAGCTGTATTCGTTGCTCTATATTCTAATTCTTATGGGAAACCAAGAAGAAGTTTTTATTATCTACTATATCAGATTCAGAGAAGATAGGTAAATAAACTTTTTATACTATGCAAATTTTTATGTTACCATAAAATCTACATCTGATGTGGGAGAGCATGTTCAGGTTTTGAACTAGGGCTGGGGAGATGGCTCAGAGCTTGGTGTGCAATTATGAGGACCTGAGTTTGTAGCTCTGGGACCCATGCAAAGGGCTGCGTATGGCCTTGCATACTTGTTATAGAGGGGAGGTAGAGAGGAGGGAGTCCCTGGCCTGCCAATCTAGCCAATCAGTGAGCTCCAGGTTTGGTGAGAGAACTTCCCCCAAAAAGTAAGGTGAAGTGATTGAGGAAGACAGCCAATATTGACCTCTGGCCTCCACATATGCCCACCTGACCATGAACACTTAAATACATGAGCATACAGGATACACTACACACATAAGCAAAATTAAAAAATAGACTTTATGATTGATGTCATCACTGTTTGCCTGTCTAGGGCATTTCCTGCCATTTTTATTGCTAACCATGTAGGAATGATCCCTGGGGATAAAGTAGTTGATGTCCACAATTTAATAGTGACAATTTTCTTTCGGCTTTTATTTCCTGACTTATTTATTTTCCAATTTATTTTTTTTAACAAGGGGAAAACTGTGGACATTAAGACAAGTTTTTGAATATTGGAGCAATGGATTTGTGAGTGTGCTTCTGAATGAGGCCTTTTGCAAACCTGATTTTGAGCAGTAGAGCTTCGGGGAAGGATTCCTGAGAAGCTGAGTTGCCATTATTGCTGAGTGCTCAGACAAGGAAGTGACTGTGCGAGGCAGAGCCGGATACTTTGGCAGCGAGAAAATGAATGCTCTAGGACTGGGGGCAGAGGAGGAATCTAAATCCTATGCCTGATTGGGTGTTTCCATCATAGGGCTAAGTGATGGGCCTCAGAGTGCTTGGGCTTTAATCTATGGTAACAGCACGATCGTGGTGTGGTTATCTTGGAAAAATGTCCAAGTATGTATTTTAAATTCCCATTATGTTTAGCAACGAAAGTAAGGCTACTAAGTATTTCTAGTTGGATAGCGTGTCCTGCTGAATACTGAAAAAAAAAAAGAAAAGAAAAGTCAGCTGTAAAAGATTGGAAGTTGCAACACTTCTGCACTTGGAGGAGATTTTCTTATCTGGGGAGGTCTTGGAAATGGTGCCATGATACTGGAAGACAGTGCCTCCTGTTTGCCTAGAGCTAGAGGCACTGAAGGAGCCATTGATACTCATTCTGGCCAGCACTCCAGCCCCTATGGGCAAGTCACCTGCATGGTAGAGTTAATGGTGAGCCCTTCTACCCTTCTGAGGAATATCATGTCAGGGTTTTAGGAGCTCAGACCCATAGCATCGATGCATTCATCGGCTTGGCTCACACCTTAGGACGGGAGAGCTAAGGGCTACCACAAACACCTTTTAAATCTTTTATTAGTCAAGGGCAGGGGCAATGGTATTTGACAAGAGAAGACCCCGAGAACTGAAAGGCCATTTGCTTGATGCAGTAGGCAGCACAATTTAAGATAGGCTGGCAGGATTCACTATGTCACAGTGATTGTGGGCCCAGAGAAGCTAGGTGTTCAAAGGAGAGACTTTCATCCAAGGTCACCTTTAAGTAGACATTATAGATCTTTAAATACAAGTTACTTTTCTTCCCAGTTGGAGGCTAGACGTGATTGCTAAGGTGACTCCCATTCATAAGAAAGTGGTGTAAAAGGTCCTGGCAGCTCTTGTTCTTGGTAATCAGTTCCTTCTCCACTGTTCTGAAATCACTTTCAAGGCAGTGCACAAACAGGTTTGCAGTACTTTTATGGCTTGTTCCTTAACCGTGCCTCCCCAGTCTAAATTTTCCTCAGTATACTTTAGATTACCAACAGGGATTAATTTATTGCTTCTATTAGGCAAAGATGCAAAATTAGGGAATGGATGGAAGGGGGTGTTTTTCTTACTGAACCAAGAGATATAGCAAACCCCGTCTGCTGGGATTCAACTCTTATGTCTGTCACTTTGCAGGTGGCAAGATTCAACTCTACATTTTTTTTGGGGGGGGGGGGATGTTATCTAATTCTGCTATTCAGCCAAGTGCCCAGTACATCCATAAAAACAGGGAACACTTTTTAATTAACAACTCATTAAAATGTTATTGTTTGTGTACTGTACACCAGGCTTCATGTCCTATGCATAGTCTGTGCTCCATGTTTCCATGCTTGAATCAGTTATCAAGCCTGAAGTCATTGTGGAACAGACATTTATAAAAAAAGACAGAACCAAACAGAGCAAAGTGGATATTTGGTTTCTAAAACCAACATTTAGTAAATTTCTCAGAAGTAAAAGATTAATTTTCTCAAAAGAAAAATGATAAACTTCACAGAGACAATTTATACATGTTTCTAGAAAGATCTGCCATTTGAAAAGTGTCATATATGGCTGGAAATATCATCTTTCACTTCATTGAGACATCAGGGCTGATAGAAATTTTTGCTACTAGTGATTATTAATCTTAAGCACCACAAAGAGCTGAAAAGATTTTGTAGTTTCTAAAATAAAACCCCATAATCCTGAACATGAGACTGAGTAGCTCTGTCTTGGGTGCTCACAATAGTGGCCCTTTTTTCCATATGTCAATGTGAACTGTTAAAAGAAAGGAGGGGTGTGTAGAGAAAGGCAAGGGAGACATGTCAAAGGATAGTAACATTTCACAGTAGGACAGAAAACACACATCAATTCAAAAATATATAAATATGCAAATAATATAAATGTATAAAATGTATAGCTATTCTCAGTGTGCTCTCTTTGCCTCCCACTTGCAGGTTTAGGTATAAGCTCTCTGTTGTTCTTGCTTCCATGCCTTCACTTTGACATAGTAGACTCCAATCCTGTGAAACTGTAAGCCTAATTAAATGCTTTTTCATAAGTCTCCTTGGTCATGGTGTTTTATTACAGCAACAGAAAAGCAGATAATGCAGATGGAGAGACATTAACTTTTTTTTTTTTTAAATGTATGTGGGTATTTTGTCTGTGTGCAGATCTGGGTACCACATGCAGTACCCATAAAGACCAGAAGAGAGTGCTCTGGGTGGGAAGTTACAGATGGTTGTGAGCCATCATGTGGGTGCTGGGAATTGAACCAGGGGTCTTCTGTAAGAGCAATAAGGACTTTAAACCACTAAGCTATCTTTCCAGCGCTAAAACATTGATTTCTTAAAGGCGATCTTCAGCCATGATCATAGTTTAACTATGAAAACACCAACTTGGTTATTAAAAAAAATTAAGTTGGCATTTAGCAAAGACGCTTTCAGGCAAACAGATCTTCTTTAAGACTGCAGCAGCAAGGCAAAAGAGAAT